CACCCAACCTATCTATGTGGCGTTGCATTTTTTTAATGTCATCCTCTGTGTTGACACTTCCTCCTAGTTTTGTGTCATCCACGAACTTAGATTAACTTTGATGTCCTCATCTAGATTGTTGATGTAGATGGTAAATAGCTGAGGCCCAAGGACTGATCCTTGTGGCACTCCACTAGTCACATCCCGCCAATCTAAAAAGGACCCGTTTATCCCTATTCTTTGTTTCCTACCTGTTAACCATTCCCCAGTCCACGTTAATATGCTCCCCCCAATTCCATGGGCCCCTATCTTTTGGACTAACCTTTTATGCGGCACCTTATCGAATGCCTTCTGGAAGTCCAAATAGACCACATCCACTGATTCACCCTTATCTAGTTTACTCGAAATATCCTCAAAAAATTCTATGAGATTTGTCAAACATGACTTCCCTTTTGTAAAGCCATGTTGACTTGGCCTAATTATATTGTGCTCCTCTAAATACCGCACTACCACATCCTTAATCAATGATTCTAAAATTTTTCCTATCACTGATGTGAGACTAACTGGCCTATAGTTCCCCATCTTTTCCTTTCCACCTTTTTTAAATAGTGGTGTGACATTTGCGATCTTCCAATCCATGGGGACTGTTCCAGAATCCAAGGAATTTTGGAAGATCAGACACAAGGCCTCCACTATCTCATAAGCTACCTCTTTTAAAACCCTGGGATGCAAGCCATCCGGACCAGGGGATTTGTCACTTTTTAGTGCTAACAGTTTCTCTAGCACCAATTCTCTACTAATGAAAATTTCCCTAAGTTGCTCCCTGTCCTTATCCCCTTGGTGCATCTCTATTGTTGGCAGACTTGTTGTGTCTTCTAGGGTGAAGACAGATGCAAAGTACCCATTTAGGGACTCTGCCATGTCCTTATCCCCCATTACAACTTCTCCCGTCTCTGACTGAAGTGGACCTACATTTACCCTCACTAGCCTATTCCTCTTAATATATTTGTAAAACCTTTCACAATCTGACTTAATATTCCTAGCTAGCTTACCCTCATAGTCCTTTTTCTTGCTCTTAATTAGTTTTTTTAGTTTTTTTGCTGGTTTCTAAAACTCTCCCAATCTTCAGATTTGCTGCTTTTATTAACAGTTTTATAAGCTTTTTCTTTTAATTTGATGCTTTCCCTAACTGCTCTAGTTAGCCACGGATGACTTGCTTTCCCTGTGGTACTCTTATTCCGCAAGGGAATATGCGACCGCTGAGAATTATGCACTACATCCTTAAATATTTGCCACTGTTGGTCTACATTTTTACCTCTTAATCTTATTCTCCAGTCTATTTTACCTAAATCTTTCCTCATACCTACAAAATTAGCCTTATTTAAATTCAGAGTACTTGCCTCGGATTTAATATATATCCCTCTCTAACTTAATGCAGAATTCAATCAAATTGTGATCACTCTGCCCTAGAGGAGTCTTAATACCTACACTGCCGACTAGCCCTGTTTCATTACACAAAACAAGGTCTAGGTTGGCCTACCCGCTAGTTGGTTCCTCGGCATGCTGCTCCAGAAAGTTATCTCTCATACACTCAATAAACTCTTCTTCTAACCTACTTTTGCTGATTTGGTTTTCCCAATCTATGTGGAGATCGAAATCACCCACTATTATCGTTTTACCTTTCCTACATGCTCCACTGATTTCCTGATTAATACCTTGTGCTATATTGTGATCGCTGTTTGGGGGTTTATAAACCACTCCCATTAATATTTTCTGCCCCTTATTATTTTTTTATTTCCACCCATATTGTCTCTACCTCCTGGTCATCGGATTTCAGATCCTTCCTCTCCACTGCTTTTATTTCATCCCTAATTAACAAGACTACCCCCCCACCTCGTTTCCCACAGTGCCTATCTTTCCTGTAAACAGAACCCTGGAATATTTAACTCCCACCCTAGATCTCCTTGTAACCATGTTTCAGTGATGGCTACTAGATCGTACCCATATGTGTCTATCTGTTAATGCTGATACTGACATTGCTCTGACGTCACTTTTTAATTTTCTCGCTTTTTTTTATCCTCTGCTTCTGGCTGACTGACTGGCTGCTCTCCTCACCCCACCCCTTGCTCTCGTGCCGCTGACTGGCTGACTGACTGGCTGCTCTCCTCACCCCACCCCTTGCTCTCGTGCCGCTGACTGGCTGACTGACTGGCTGCTCTCCTCGCTGTGGCTTTATCCCCACTGCTCGGTCTAGGCTCCGTCCTGCGCTCTCGTGCCTCTGACTAGCTGACTGGATTAGATACCGAATAACTGAATTAGATACCGAATAACTGATAAGAGTTTACAGCACCTGGTAATGATAATAAAGATCCTTGCATTTGATATAGCACCTTTCACATCATTGAGCCATCTCAAAGCGCTTCACAGGATGAGAAATGTGACGTTTGATATGATGTTTCTTGTCATAATTATCACTGCTGGTGTTATGTCATCCCCAAAACTGCATTTAAGAACAATATTTCATTATCAAACAGTTGGATATGTTATCTACTTCTGCAGGATCACAAGATTAGTTTAGATGTAGAAGACCCTTCAGCCCTGATCTCCTCCTTGCAGAACACTGTCTTCCCATCACAGCACCAAGCTGTTTTTTTTAAATGAGTCCAGTGCCCTTGCTTCAATCAACCTTTCGCCCCCTCCCTTCCTACCTTTCCCTTCTGCCTGACCTCAGCACATTGGTTTAACATGAAACTGGCAAGAAATCACTATCTTCACATGATATCGCCTTAACCCAAACACCGCACTCCATTAGGTAGCAATAATAATGGTGCCTAGTAATGTTTTTTTTCTGGAATTGAGACAAATGATTGTGCCCAAGTATAAAGAAGGGGGAAGTTCACATGTAGGTCTGGTCTTTACTTATTGACTAATTTAATTACAGTGTGCAGTAATGTGAACATAATCAAATGATGGTCACAAATTTACTCCTCGCCCGCATGTCACATTTACACCTTCAATCCCAATTCCCTTCTCTTTCTGTATTTTATGCCCACAAAATACACAGTAAATTCACACAATAATTTAGTGTATGCCAAATGCAAGGATTATTATTATTTTTTAAAACATTTCTCTTCAAGTACTTGTCCAATTTCAACATTCTCTTTCAAAGCTTGGTGTTCTCCTAGTTTTGATAACCTTTTGTAGCACAGCACATTCCTTATTCTATTGTAGGTGTAAATAAACCTGTCTATACATTACTGTGAGTTGTACATTTGTCAAATTCCTGCCCTCAACAATTATTGGCACCTTTTGCCAAGAACGCCTTGACATTATAAGGGAAAGAAGGAAGGGCGGGTATTCTGGAAGGATTAGATCAAATATGCCCAAGGGCTTTTTTCATCTACCTCTCACTGGAGAGTCTTTCCATAGGTAGATGTGGGCCAGGCCCAAAGCCTCCAGGCCATCCAGTAAAAACATTCTTTTTTTTTACAGGGGAGAAACTTGTATACTTTCATTTATGGCATGATGTGAAAAAGGGGAAGGTTGGAGCAAGGTGGAGGGATAGAGGGAAAGAGTTCCAAGGTTTGGGGCTCAGTGGCCTAAAGCAAGGCCAATTATGGTGGAGTGGAGGGGACAAGGGATGAGCAGGAGGCCATAGCCAGACAAGCGGAGGCGTGGGGAGTGAGCAGGTTACAGATGTAGGGAGGTGCCAGGATGTGAAGGACTCTGTAGACGAGTGTGAGAATCTTGAAGTCGATCCGTTCTGTGATACAGAGCCAATGGAGCCTTGTAAGGACAGGCTTGGGGTGGGGGGGACAGAGATATTCAGCAAATCTAATAACTTAGAGGCAATTCCAGAGCCTAAAAATTACAATACAAAACAATTCCCTGCCATTTGAAATAATAATAATATTAATCCTTATATTCAATATAGCTACTTTCATGTCAAGGAGACATCTCAAAGTGCTTCGCAGGATGCACTGTCAGTTGTAATGACTTTTTTTTGTAGGTGGAAACAGTAGTCAGTTTAAGCTCAGCAATGTCCCACAGTCATGAAACAAATCTGGAACTCTCTCCCACAAAAGGTCGTGGATGCTGGATGCCTTCAAGAAAGAGATTGACAGATTTTTGGTAGGTCAGGGTATTAAGGGATACGGGAAGAAAGCGGGAAATTGGATTTGAAATTCTAGTAAAGATATAGATCAGCCATGATCTAATTAAATGGCGGAACAGGCTCGACGGGCTGAATGGCCTACTCCTGTTCATATGTTCCTATGTTCCTAAATAATCAATATCTACTGTGGGGATTGTTGGCCAGGACACTGGGAGAAATTCCCTTCTCTTTGCAAATAGTGCATTGGGATCTTTAAAGTCCACCTGAACAGGCAGATGGGATCTCGGGTTAATGTTTCTCCAAAGAACAACACTTTTAATGATACAGCACTCATCTAGCACTGCATTGGTGTGTCAGCCTAGGTTGCCTAGGTTGCATGATAGGGTTGCCAACTGTTTGGTTTGAGATGGGAAGTCTGGTTTTAAGCTGTGTGCAATTTGCTATTTCGTTTCTCCCACAAAATATACAGTCAATTCACCTTACAGTATATTCTGTGAAGGACCTGGAGACGTCTCAATAATATGATAAGGTGCTATATCAAATGAAAGGATTATTATTATTATTACCATCACAGTGATGCTCACAGTAACTCCAAGAGAATCGTTTTTTTGCAAACCTCAAGCTGCTTCCTTGTAACCCTTTACTATCATCAGTCTGAATGACAGTAATATACACTCATAGGATCTCAAACAAATTCCATCAGCCCCTATGTTCTTGAAGTTCATTTGTGTAGGAATAACAAATCGAAAACAACAACACAATAACAAATTGTTTGTGGTCGGGGCCAAGAGGGTGAGGGGTGAGAAGATGACTGAAGGTGTGGTCAAAGAGAGGGGTCTTGACAGATGGACCGTGATAGTCCCAGTGCCAAAGACTCACTAGTTTTCAATGTGGACATTTCTAACAGGTCATTGCTATTGCTATGGACATGTTCACTGATGTGGACCTCTTCCGAGATCTTCTGGAGGCTTCAAACAGAGGAATTCCCGTCTACGTAGTGCTCGATGAATACAACTTCCAACACTTCGCCAACATGTGTGAGAAGCAAGGACTTCAGCCTCAGAGGATCAGGGTAAGGATTTGTTGCTTTGGATATGTTAATCCTCACCTGCATAAAATGGTTAAAAATCACATATCCCTATTGGACGGAAAAATACAGCATTTGCTATTTGGTGACGGCCGATTATTTTTGCATTCCACTATTAGGTTGACATCCAATTCTCCTTTCCAGTTTTATTAATTCAGTACCTCTACAGTTCATTTTTGGTTTGGTTAGCCAGGTGATGGGTGATACACACAGCCACCCAATACCATGCTTATAAGTATAATATATTATACCTAGCAGTAAGTAGGAACCCAGTTGTTAGTTGATTGGAAGGTCACTTTCCGAGGGTAATAATCCCTTTTAAAAAAGATTTGGCCAGATGGCTGTTTGTGGGACACTACTCTGCACAATTGGCTGCCGCATTTCGCCCACAAAATACACAGTCACTCCACTTTACAGTATATTCTGTGAAGTCCTTTGAGACGTCTTGAAGATGTGATAAAGTGCTATATCAAGTGCAAGGATTATTATTATTTTATTATCCGTATTTGTTTTTAGTTCAATGCATTTAAGAGGAAACGTGATGCATATATGAGTGAGAAGGGAATAGTAGGGTATAGGAGAGGGGAATCAGAAAGGTTGAGGCTCATGCGGGGTATAAACTCCAACACTTCTTGGGCCGAATGGTCTGTTTCTGTGCTGTGTCACTCTATGAGTTTCAGGAAGACGGAATGTAGAGGATCAGGACCAAAAGACACCAAGACTATCTTTCATTTCCTCTTGATTTTGCTGACATTTTCAGCTCAAATAAAAACTTACAGTTAATCTATCAGAGTGAAAGCCAATTCAGAAATAAGTTTAATTATGCAGGCAAATGCCATATTTGCACTAAGTCAACTAGAAAGCCAAAGCCAACAATCATTACTGTTGAATAATCCTAACCTTGTTGTAACAATTGCAATTGCAAATAAGGCTGCTTTGCAGGCTTGGATAATTATAATCCTTGCATTTTATATAGCGCCTTATCACATCTTTGAGACATTTCATGGCACTTCACAGAATATATTGTAAAGTGGATTGACTGTTCATTTTGTGGGAGAAATGCGGCAGTCAATTGTGCACAGCAGTGTCCCACAAACGGTCGTGGATTGAGTGACCCATTATTTATTTTGAGGGCTTATTAGCCCTGAAAAGTGATCCACCAATCGACTAACAACCTATGTACTGCGGTAAACTGAAGCATGTGGAGTAAGGAAACTTGCACAAGGTTTCTCAGCTGGGAATCAAACCTAGACCATTTTGTTTGTGAGGCAAGCGGTTTGAAAGACTCTGCTAGCTTTCCTGATTGGGAGAAACATTTGGGTCATCTTTTTTAGCATATTGATAATTGAATGCAGGCTGCAAGGCTCAAAGGTTCAGAGTTCATGCGGTATAGCAAAAGACCAGACTTTTATTTGCCTTTCAACAACTGCTTAATAGATACCGCATCTGCAAATGGATCATAATTCACAAATACAAAAATTGGCTGCCGCATTTCGCCCACAAAATATACAGTCAATTCACTTTACAGTATGTTCTGTGAAGCACTGAGATGTCTCAAAGGTGTGATAAGGCGCTATATGAAATGAAAGAATTATTATTATATTATTAAGTTGCAGTTACCTAGTGCCATTCACATAAAAAACCATCTCAGAGCACTTTACAGTGACAGGGATGGCTGCCGGAACACGCACACTCTGGGCTTCCCAAGCCTTGGCTCTTCCCAACCTGTGCCTAATGCTTTTTGGAATTAGCTAAGCCAGGATGTGTCCTTCAGGGACAGAGTGCACTTTCCATTCCAATAAATATCTTTGGAATTTCTACAGATAGTCAGGATGCATAGAACTGTTTGGTATGGATACTGTTAAACTTGGTGATAGAATCACTGAATTATACAGCACAACCAGGTTCCTACTTACTGCTAGGTAAAATAGGATAACAACAACAACAAGATTCCATTTATTGAACGCTTTTCACGTCGGGAGGAAGTCCCAAGGCGCTGTACAGTTGGGTCAGGACCCGAGCATTGGGGAAATGGTCAGGGTGAGGGGATGGAAGGGAGGGAGCGAGGAGGGGGTAGACAGTTGAGAGGGGAGCTGAAGGCACGGTCAAAGAGAAAGGTCTTGAGACCGGCCTTGAAGGAGGAAAGGGAGGAGGCAAGGCGAAGGCACTGGGGGATGGAGTTCCAGAGCTTGGGGGCTGAGAGCCTGAAGGCCCATCCACCGATGGTAGGGCGGTTGGGGCGGGGGATGTGCAACAGACCGGAGCCAGAGGAACGGAGGGTACGGGCAGGTAGGTAGGGGGATAGTAGGTCGGAGAGGTAGGAGGGAGCAAGGCCGTGAATGGCCTTGTAGGTGAGGATGAGGATCTTGAATTTGATCCTCTGGGGGATGGGGAGCCAGTGGAGGCGAGCGAGGGTGGGAGTGATGTGTTCCCGAAGCCTGGTGCGGGACAGTACACGAGCTGCAGAGTTCTGAATGACCTGCAGCTTGTGGAGGGAGGTGCCGGGAAGGCCGGCGAGGAGAGAGTTCCCATAGTCCAGCCTTGAGGTGATAAAGGCGTGGACCAGGGTTTCAGCAGCGTGAGGGGTGAGGTAGTGCCCATCTGAACTGAACACAGTACCTAGCTGAGGTCTAACCAGTGTTTTATAAAAGTTCATCATAACTTCCTGACTTTTGTATTTATAAAGCCTAGTACCTCATATGCTTTTTTAACAGCTTTATCTACCTGTCCTGCCACCTTCAAAAATGTACTTATATGAACCCCAAGGTCTCTCTGTTCCTTCCATCCCGTTTAAGATTCTACCATCAGCTTATATTGATGTATCAGACACCCACTGACCCAAAAAAAGTTCCAAGTACTGATGTAGGGTTTGAACATGTATATTCTGTGAAGTGCTTTGAGACGTCTTGAAGATGTGATAAGGGGCTATATCAAATGCAAGGATTATTATTATTATTGAACCCACAGCAAGTCTGACATCTATTAAGACTGAACTCCAGATAGAAGTGAGATGTATTTCTGGGTTGTCTTATCTTCATAGTGGGCCACTTGTTCACTGTCTTAAAATCTCAACTTGGTTTTCAGCATTGAAGAGGAAAATAATAACGTGTTGTGTGAACACTGGCACAGATTAGTTGATCAAGTGAACTGCTTCCTTGAGGGTCACTTTATGTATCTATGCTGGCTAAACCCAGTGTTTGTGGTACTCCAAGAGCTTCTGTATGACAATAACTGGCCCAGAATGATTTTTAGTGAAACAGGGTCTCTCCAGTTCTCAGTCCAATTCCAAGGTGATGGCCCCTAATTGGTGTAATTGCTTTTAATTATGAACTCTATGATGTTAGGGAGACCATGAGAACAGCTGTGGTAGGAAATGCAAATATTATGCTGATGCACAAGTCCGGCCTCTCTTACGAGCACTCCACCCACTTCAAGAGCAGGTGGTGCAAAAGGAACTTTGCACTGTATCCAATCCATGCTTATACCTGTCATTTGAATGGTTTATGCAATCTCTCCGTGCAAAGAGCTCTTAAATGCATTATAACCCCGGAGCGTAAAGATAATAATAATAATAATCCTTGCATTTGATGTAGTGCCTTAACACACTGTTGAAGTGTCTCAACTTGCTTCACAGAATTTACTGGAAAGTGAATTGACTGTATATTTTGTGGGTGAAATACAGCAGCCAATTGGGCACAGCAGTGTCCCACAAACAGTCGTGGATTGAGTGACTCATCTAGTGGCCCTTATGTCAGTGTTGTTCCATTTGAATTTGTGCAATATTATTATGATTAATTAGCAAGTTACAGATTGAGCCAATTTATCACTACTGTGCTCAGGTGAGCTTCTTGTTTCATTTCTTCTGAAACAGGGTCAAGAATTTGGTGTTATTCTAGGTAACCAAAGTTGGACTCCATTCCCAATAAACCACAGAGAGAATGATAACAATGTGCACAAGATCAAGGATCAAATTCCTGTGCACGTCACTGTAGTTCTCTTTTGGATTGGGCAGGTAGGGGTAGACTTGGTACACTGTGTTAATATTACCAGTGAGGATTATGACAAAGGTAGGAAGGATGTCAGAGAGAGCCTTGGAGAGGGTACAAAAGAGATTTGCCAGAATGATACCAGAGATGAAGAGCGTTAGTTATTTGGAGAGACTAGAGAAGATGGGATTGTTCTCTTTTCAGCAAAGAAGGTTAAGGGGAGATTTAATAGAGGTGTTCAAAATAATGGGGGGTTTTGATAGAGTAGATAAGGAGAAACAGTTTCTACTGGTGGATGATTCAGTGATGAGAGGTCACAGATTTAAGATAATTGACAAAAAAAACAGGGGGGAGATTAAGAAAAGATTTATTTTTAACCAGATTGATTTGCCATGAATCGTCTGGGCATTTGTGAGCCCTGCTGTAAGCAAATTGGCTGCCCGGTTTTCCTATGAATACACTGTCACTACACTTAACTTTGCAACATTTTGACATATAGGTGTTATATTAAGGATTGTTATTTTCTTTACAAATCCAAATCCTGTAAATAGATCACAATAACATGAACTTCCAAAAACCTCAAAGGTTCCCTCAGTCTGTGCATTAACTTAAATACATAATATAATAATATTCCTTGCATTTGATATAGCATGTCATCGATGTAATAATAATAATCTTTGCATTTGATATAGTGCTTTTCACGTCGGGAGGACGTCTCAAAGCGCTTCATAGAATAGACTGTAAAGTGAATTGATTGTATATTTGTAGGCGAAATGCAGCAGCCAATTGCGCACAGCAGTGTCCCACAAACAGTCGTGGATTGAAGTGATCAATTTATTATTGTTTTTTTTCCTGAGGGATTATTATTAGGCGTGTGGAGTAAGGAAACTTGCCCAAGGTTTCACCCTGCCGGGAATCAAACCCAGGTCTCTTGCTTGCAAAGCGAGTGCTCTAACCACTGAGCTACAGGACTCCACATGTCCATATGTCTCAAAGTCCTTGATAAGATATACCGTAAAGAGACGTTACTGTGCGTATTTTGGGGGCAAAAGATAGAACTTGACTCAAGTAGACCTGACTCATTCTGGCCTGGCTAATCAATGAGATAAATTAATGAATATCATTAAAAAAAGATAAACTGCCAACCCAGCACACAATCTGGCTTCTGTCTGCTGCTTATTACTTCCACTCCCTCAATGCGGAGGGAGTTGGACAATAATAATAATTAGGATTCCCTTTGGTATAACGACTTTCATGTGAGGAGGATGTCTCAAAGCGCTTCACACCAAATGCTGTAGGATGGAGTTACTGTGTATTTTATAGGTGAATGGTGGCAGCCAATTTGTGTACAGCAATATCACACAAACAGCCTTGAAATTAATGATTAATTTTATTTAGGGGTTGTTGACCAGATCATTGGGAGAAACTCCCTTTCCTTTTCAGATAATGCTGTGAAATCTTTAATATCCATCTGAACAGGCAGACAGGACGTTGGTTTATATTGTGTAATCCAAACAACAAGATTACATTTGTATAGCACCTTTCACGTCGGGAGGACGTCCCAAGGCACTGACAACATCACTGACAATGCACCCCCAGGACTGTATTGGAGTGCCGTCCTAGACCAATTGATATCAAAGTTTTGAAGTGGGACTTGAACTCAGAGCCTTATGACTCAGAGGCAAGAGTGCCACAAACTCAGCCAGGCTGACACCATGAATGATGGGTGCAGTCATTTTGTCCCATTTTGATTGAATAGTGTTTAAGATCTATAGTTTTCCTTGAAACTGTTCTTGTATCAGTGTAATATATAGGATGATTGTCAATGTTATGTTGTAATTGTGGTATAAAAGTGCTTCAGTTCTCCAAAAGCCATAACTTTGTTTATAAATCGCTTGTGAGCTGCACTGCACCACATATTTATCTAATGCTCTGAAAAATGCATTGAACACAGTAATACTTAGCTTGTCAATGCACCCCTGTAATGCGAAACAGAGTAAATAGATATCACTTTGAAAGTGGTTTGCTTAGATGGCTGGTTAGAAAGATTTGCATTGCTGTAGCTTTCACCTACAATGATCTCACGGTAGTGTGGCGGTGGTGATACATGACCAGGAAACCTGCAAACGTGACTGAATACTCTTTTGAATGAAGATTCAATGTCTGTTAGAATGTTGCCTTCGGGTTTGCAATGTATTGTTTCGGTCATTTGCACCCCACCGGCAGCAGGAACTGTCTCGCTGCCTCAGTTAAACAATGTGGTTTCTGTATTATGAAGGAGGCCTGATTTACATGAAAACTTATTGTCCGAATGAATGTGCATGTGTGAGAGTGAGAGTACACTCACAAGGGGATAAAGCACGAGGTGTTGAGCAGGCAGCAGAGCTTCACCTTGGAGGGACTGTTAACAAACAAGTGGGTCAGCCCGCTCCCCTGCTCAAACCGTATATATTACAACTCTGACTTAATTTAAGGCTTTGGGGTGTCATCAAAATATATGCTTGTGTCCATTAAACATTTTAATTTATTTCGAGAAGTGTATATTTTAAATTTGTTACTATAAACAGGATACTGGTTTTGTCCTCCTAACTCGAAAAGTCCCAACTCTCATCACTTAAACATTCAGTATAAAATACCAAGCTCTGTGACATTAGGTAATTAAAGTACTTTAGCCATGGTCTTATTCACTGTTCCTGCAGTGTGGTCTTGGCTCTTACCAACCATCCCTAATACTTTTCGAAATTAGGTAAGCAGGGTTCATCCATCCACAGTGAGAATGCACATTCCATTCCAGACACAAGGAAATTTCCATGTGTATAGACAGCATAGATTAATTGAGCCAAATGGCCTGTTTTTGTGCATTTTCACTCTCTGCGCTATGTGTAGGTAGCATATATATGTGAAATTCTCTGTTTGGTTTGGATACTCTTAAGCATGGCATTGGGTTTCCACATGTGTCAGACACTCGACTGACCAGAACTGTTGGATGATTATCTGAAAATTCATCTTCTTAACCCTTGTATAGTAAAATATGAACATAGCTTTTAAAATGGTTTGCTCAGATGGCTGGTTAGGCCTGCATGAATGTGCACTCCACAGATTTCCGCCCCCCAAATTGCTGCTTTCAAAATCCATCTAAAAACCATTGAGTGCGCCTTTGGCTACTTTTTGCCTCTCCTCCATTCGTCCCTGCCTCCCTCCTTCCTCGGGCTGCCACTCATTCCTTGTAAAGCTCCTTGAAACTATGTCCTGTGGGAAGAGTGCTATCTAAATGTTAATTGTTGTTATAGGAACTATTTTTATAGGCATATTCAGGTTCCAAAACAGCAAACACAGCAAGGTTGCACAAACAGCCCAAGGGTGAATAACTAATTTCAATAAGGAATCTGGAGAACATTTTTCTAAAGAAGGCCTCAAATTCAAGATCCTCATCCTCACCTACAAGGCCATCCACGGCCTTGCTCCCTCATACCTCTCTGACCATCTATCCCCCTACTTACCTGCCCGTACCCTCCGTTCCTCTGGCTCCGGTCTGCTCCACGTCCCCCGCCCCAACTGCCCTACCATCGGTGGCCGGGCCTTCAGCCTCTCAGCCTCTAGGCTCTGGAACTCTATCCCCCAGTGCCTTTGCCTTGCTTCCTTCCTTTCCTCCTTCAAGGCCGGTCTCAAGACCTTTCTCTTTGACCGTGCCTTCAGCTCCCCTCTCGACTCTCTACCCCCTCCTCGCTCCCTCCCTTCCCTCCCCTCACCCTGACCATTTCCCCCCAATGCTCGGGTCCTGACCCAACTGTACAGTGCCTTGGGACGTCCTTCCGACGTGAAAGGCGCTCTATAAATGGAATCTTGTTGTTGTTGTTGATCTCTAATATCCACACTGAAGAACAAGTTTCATGTGTGAAGGCAAGTGCCCCCAACAGTGATATTTAAGAGGGGACGTAAAAGAAAAATTATAAAAGGGTAACAACAACATCAATTTGTATTTATACAGTGCCCCTTTTCCAGAGTGCTTATTGGGTTTGTAAGGTTAGCATAAATGGGCTGTTTCCACTGGTTTGGGAGTATGTAACCAGGGGACAGAAGTATAAGGTTGAGACTAGGGGATCAAAAAGAGAACTTAGGAGGAATTACATTATGCAGAGGGTAGTGAGAATGTGGAACTCGCTGCCTGAAGCAGTGGTTCAATCAGACAATCAGATAATGTAGATTAATTACAGAGTGAGCTGGACCTTCACATGAGGAGTGGGTGAAGACTTGTGTGGAATACAAACACCATCACAGAGTGGTTGGGTTGATGACCTGATTCCAGGGAAGTCTCGGGACATCCTCCTGACATGAAAGGCGCTGTACAAATGTAACTTATCGTTGTTGTTATTGTTTCCATACTTACATTCTTTGTAAATCTTTGTAAATCTTTATACCAGTGTAGCACTTCCCTGCAGTGTCAGCCTGGACTGTGAGTTCAAGTCCTGACACAGAGCTTTAACTCACAATATTCTGAGCAAATGGGCATTCTGGAAGGATGAGATAATGTTAACATTCCAGATATTTAGTCCTGTGGCTCAGTATTAGAGCACTCGCCTCTAAAGCGAGAGACCTGGGTTCTATTCCCGGCAGGGTGAAATATTAGCCAAGTTTCCTTAATCCCCATGCCTCTGTTTACCTAGCAGTAAGTAGGAACTCGATTGTTAGTCGATTGGCATATTGCTTTTCCGGGGATAATAATCCTTTATAAAATAATAAATTGGTCACTCAATCAACGACTGTTTGTGGGACAATTGGCTGCCGTGTTTTGCCCACAAATACAGTGTTAATTCACTTTACAGTATATTCTACGAAGCTCTTTGAGACATCTCGAAGACATGAAAAGTGCTATATCAAATGCAAGAATTATTATTATTTATTATTATTATCAGACTGGTTGGAGGGCCTTCTTCAAGTGAACAAATCTTGTGATCTTGTGAAAGGCAAGAGTGCTACCCAGACTTGTCTAGAGCAATGGGAATTTCAATCTTAATTTAAGATCTTAATTTAGTTCAGCCATGTTCCAATAAATGGCGAAACAGGTTTGAGGGGTTGAATGCCCTACTCCTGTTTCTATGTTCCTAATCTTCATGGCCTGTTGGTGTACCTCGTTCAGTCAAGCCGTTTTCTACCAGCTCTTAATTCCAAACAAACCTTTTCTCTGCAGAACATGAGATTCCGCACTGTCCGAGGATTAGATTATCTCACCAGATCAGGAAGCAAGTTCCATGGAAAGATGACAGACAAGTTTATGTTGGTTGACTGCAAAACAGTGGTTTATGGAACATACAGGTAACCATTTCACCTCAAACCTACTACTTAAAACCATTAATTGCTGAATAAGCATTAATTTAGAGCGATATCTCCCGACATGAAAGGCGCTCTATATAAATGTAAATTATGAATTACATAATGTTCTAAACAGCATCTGTGGCTTGCATTTTACCTGTTGTTACTGCTTTATCTGACCTGCATCTTTGACCGCGCTTTTATGTTCTCTTTCCTCTCCCCACCCGTCCTCAGCTCCCACTTCTATCTCAGATGCCAAACTGGTACTGTCAAGCACATCCTCCTGAAGTGAACAATGCTATATGAATATACATTGTATTGGTAATTATTTTTAACAATACATATGTAATAATTCTAGCTGGGATCCTGCGAAGCGGCACTTAAAATACAGTTCTGCCACAGTACCAATGGAAACACTAAAAGTTTCAGGGTTGGTTTTGAACCCAGCTATTCTGTTGAATTCAGGGAAATTTGGATCCAGTTTGGAGTTATTAACTGGCTTGTCCTCCACCATTGGTGGCTGCGCTTTCAGCCACTATGCCCCGAAACATAGATCATGACAGGCTGTTTCAACTTGTCCAGAATAGTAGAAGCAGAGGACATGGCCTGCGATTGAAGTGGGGTAAAGTCAGAAAGAATCTTCTTCTATCCCTCTGCTTGCCACCTCCTTCCCCATCTTCAAGTCATGTCCAAAGACCTTCCTATTCAACCAGTGTGACAAGCAGTGTGACAAGGGAGGATGTTGTATATCTGGATTTCAGTAGGGCCTTTGATAAAGTTCCTCTTAAGAAGCTGGTACTGAAAGTAAAAATAGCTGGAATCAGTGGAGGTATATTACAATGGATATGGAATTGATTGACCGTAATAACCCAGAGGGTGGTAGTACATGGAATGTTATCGGACTGGGGAAATGTTACCAGTGGAGTTCCACAAGGGTTTGTTTGGGACCACTTTTCTTTAATATTTAAAATGATCTGGAACTAGGAGTCACAAGCACAGTGGCTAAGTTTACAGATAACACCAAGCTATTAAAGGGTGGTAGATTGCGAAGCTGAACAAGATAGGTTACAGGAGGATTTGAACATATGTGAGAATTGGGCACATCAGGTGCAGATGAAATTCAATGTGGAGAAATGCATATGGGGACAAAAAATCCTGGAAGGGACTATTATTTGAACAGAAGGAAAATAGTATGTATGGAAAATGAAAAGGACCTGGGGGTCCTGATTGACATTAAATTGAAGCTCTCCCAACAATGCTCTGTGGCAGTGAGTAAAGCAAACCAGATGTTGGGATGTATCAAAAGATCAATAGCAAACCAAAATAGTGGGGTAATCCTGCCACTGTGTAAATCATTGGTGAGACCATCCTTAGAGTACAGTGTACAGTTCAGGTCGCCTTAGTACAAAAAGGGTATTGGAGAAATCGAGAAGATACAGAGGAGGGTAACCAAAATGATTGAGGGAATGGAAGGACTGGAGTATGAGGAGTGACTAAGTAAATTGAGTATGTTCACCCTGGAAAAGAGAAGACTGAGAAGCGACATGATTGTTGTCTTTAAGATTCTAAAGAGGCAAGATGAAATAGATCATGACAGGCTGTTTCAATTTGTCCAGAATAGTAGAACCAGAGAACATGGCCTGTGATTGAAGAGTGATAAATTCAGACGAATCTACACAAACACTATTTCAGTGAGCGAATAGTGAACCTGTGGAACAGGCTCCCGAGGGAGACCGTCGAAGCAGGGAGTGTTGATTACATCAAACATAGATTAGATAGTTTTCTTTTAGGAAATAATATTATGGGATATAGTGCATAGGTAGTTTGGGACATATGTGCATGCAACCACCAGGAAGGTGGAACGCAAACTAGATGGACCTTGGTCTTTCTTCGTCTAGCATTTCTTATGCTCTTATGTTCTTATAACCATGCCTATGGTCACTTCTCCCTGACCCTCGCTCGGCATCATGCTCTGCCACTGTCAAACTCTTTGGAACGCTGCCCTGCGTGAGGGGCGTTATATAAATTCAAGTTGTTGTTGACCACAATTTTTTTTTTCCATGTGCACTTTCTCAGCGCTAATAATAATCTCATCCCACGGCACACCATTGATAAACCCTATTGATCAATCCACAATGATTAAACAGCCGACTTCTTTGCTTTTAGCTTCATGTGGTCCTTTGAAAAGATCAACCTCAGCATGGTACAAGTGATCACAGGACAACTGGTGGAATCCTTCGATGAAGAATTCCGGATGCTCTATGCTCGGTCGGAAATCCCCAGCATTTACGCGGCAGAAGAACCTCTCTTGACAAGAGATAGCAAATGGCACAATGGGGTAGATATAGGACTAAAACAGAACTCAGTGGCTTCCTACACCAACCACTACCAGTCGTTCAGCAGGACGGATGCACTGAGGCACACGATAGACGCCATGTACCTCAAGGTTCACGGACGGCAAACTTCTTATCTGAATGAGAAAGGAAATATTGATAGCGGTTTGAATTCACGCAATTTGAAATACAGACCTCCGATCACTAATGAATTGGAGCCAACAAACAGAATCAACAAATTGTTATCTTACGATAAAGGCAATTTTTGTAAGAGACACAGCTATGCTGGGGAACAGCCGGAAACCTCTATGTATCTTATGCAAAACAGAGCAAAGCACACCAGGTCCATTTTTCAAAGAAGCAGTTGGAATTTACAAGAAGAAAACGACAGTGTTCCTTCTTCCATCAGAACTAACTATATCCCGAGCACCAACAGAGTCACAAATGCAATCGACCGCCTGAACAAAGCCAGAATGGCGTCCAACTTTGAAAGGAGCGCTAATATTCGGAACACCTATCATGGGCCAAGGAGCCACCTCCAGCCAACCACGCTAAATCCCCCCACCTTGGAGCAAATGAAAAAGACGGGCTATCGGAGCTGGAGAATTGATACGTATTTGAAAGATAATGTTGGACCTCCAGTCAGTTCCATTGTGGATTCGGTCGAGTTCCCTGCTACATATCAAAAGGATATGACAAGTGACAAGTATGAAAACTCGGCTCAATCTGACCACAGAGCCAACTCCCCTCTTTCTCGTCAGCAATCTTTCCTTCTATGCAGGATGCCCACAATACAACAGGCTGATTCCAGTAACTGCAATTCTCAAACCGGGTCTTCGACTGTTCGACTGTCCCCAGGCTCCATAAGCCCAAAGGAGGTTTCAACCCACAGGATTCTAAATCCTAACAAGTCGCCAAATGATTTCAGGATTCAGAGTAAGAGTAAAGAAGACGATATTCAGAACCTTGGAACGTGTCTGACCAAACAAAAGTCATTGATAGATTCCAGGAGGACAGAGTCAGGAGTACAAACTCTACCCAGGCCAAAGTTGGAGATCTCTTCAACCAGGACTCTGTCATTCCATTCTCTAGCAGACTCGGACTCCAAGAATTCTCCACAATTCTGGCAAGCAGACAAGCAGAGTACAGGCCTCGAGCGCAATTCAAATTTCCTTCGCAAGAGCTCCGAGAAAATCAAATCTTTGCTGAACATCTCACTGGACAAGAGAGACTCTGCGTCCAGAGGAAAACCTTCCCCCACGCCATCCTTTACAACAAGCAGCACTGATACCTTGACTTCAGAGGATGGTCGTCGGGAAAGGAGGAAAGCAAGAAGGCACACATGGAATGAGAAAAAGGATAAGCAGGAGTCAAATACAGCTTCAAACTCTACAAATACTCCAAAGTTCACTCGAGCCAATGAACAAAAGCAGTCAGGTCAAAGTCCTCGTCCACTTCAGAAAAATAGACCAAGTGCTGGGGACACCTCGGAACCGAGATTTGCCACTGAAGAGCCTGAGTATAGTTTCCACAGAGATGGGAGAAAGAGCTGCAACCCCTCTGTGACGTCATCTTCCTCTTTCAGAATCAAAGATGCGCTGCAGAAGAGCCAAAGAGCTCCAGAGCCAGAGACAACGCAGAAGATGGTCACCCAACCAACCGAGCCCCAACTTCACAATAAAAAGATTTTCAGCCGCTTCGAGCAATTTTGCACTCCGGGCAACGAGAATCCAAATCAGCTGCCAAGGGTTCGAATCCCAGAACAAAACGTGCCACTAAAAAACATCAACAGCATCAGTTTTAAGAGCAATACGCCAAACAGTAACTCACTCCGCTTCCAGACATACAACAACGCTCAGAGAATCCCAGGGATTTCACAGAACGAAAACAAGTTCGAGAAATTAATGCAGAGGTTCATGGGAAACTTCAAGGGTAAAAAATAAGGGAACGCCTGTTAGACCTACCAAATGGCAAGAATGGTGTACCAATATAGCAATCGATTTCTCCAGTTTAAATGATTCGATTTTGTATAAAAAAAGGTTTTCAGGTTGGCATCTTTGGTTTTATAAACTTTGGGGATGATTTTTCTCTTGCCGGCAACATTTATGCCGCAAGGAAATGTTTCCTGTCACAGCCACACACGCACCACACACGCACACTCACACTCGCACTCACAATAGGATTTCCAATATAAGCGCACACCTTCAAGATCAGTAAATGTACTGATGAACTGGGAATGATGTATCTTTGTTTTTAACAGAAGATTACAATATTCATCGCACTTTATACACTAGCACTGAGTTGGTGCATGAGTTGGTTGAATGTGCTAGGAATTCTTATTGTTAACCTTTTGGACAAGTGTAAAAAGGACCGCACTATACATGGGATATAGGACATAGGTAGTTCGGGACATATTTGCATGCGACCGCCAGGAAGGTGGAAAGTGAACTAGATGGACCTTGGTCTTTTTTCATCCAGCATTTCTTATGTACATATGTTAAAGACATGTTAAATACATATTAAAAACAACACAGAGAACTTCAGACTGTGGAGTCTAATTTGTGGTATTTATTATAATAATAATAATAATCCTTGCATTTGATATAGCGCTTTTCACGTCTTCTCAATGTCTCAAAGCGCTTCACAGAATAGACTGTAAAGTGAATTGACCATATATTTGTGGGCGAAATGCAGCAGCCAATTGCGCACAGCAGCGTCCCACAAACAGTCGTGGATTGAAAATGACCAATTTTATTATTTTTTTGTTTTGGAGGGATTATTATTAGGCATGTGGAGTAAGGAAACTTGCCCAAGGTTTTGTCCTGCCTGGAATTGAACCCAGGTGTCTCGCTTGCAAGGTGAGTACTCTAGCCACTGAGCTACAGGACTTAAGGAATGTAATTCCTTAATAAAGAATCCGAGTCATGCAACAACAACCAATTACAATTGTATAGTTCCTTTCACGTCAGGAGGGTGCCCAAAGGCGCTGGACAGTCAGGCATCTGATCTCCTCCCCATTGGAATTAGCTCACACTGATGAATGTCATTTCATCCTCAGAATGATCCGATGCAGATTGAAGGGAATTCTAACAAAATCCTTTAGAAAGCAATACTTTATTAAGCAGATTCCTGTTAAGAAATATTGACGATTAGATACCTGTACCTCCTAGACTGTATTTTTGCAGTTTTTTTGTATTTTTGTATTTTTTGTTTCGCTCATGTCTTGGTAGGAAGGTCATAGAGTTAGGGTAGAGCAAGAATTTAGAGGGAATTAAAAGTGAGGATGAGGATCTTGAACTCAATCCTCTGGAGGATGGAGAGAGTGGACCAGGCAAGGATGGGGATGATAGACTCCTGGAACTTAATGCAAGAGACGACACAAGCTGCAGAGTTCTCAATAGTCTGATGGATGAATGGATCACCAGCATAGACATGGTAGACCGAATGGCCTCCTTCTGTACTGTAAGATTCTATGATTCTGTGACTTTGGAAACTCCCATTGTAAACGCTTAACAGAATTGGCGATTGATAGACTGACAATTGGTATGTGACACGATGGGCCAAATGGTCTTCTTTCTATGTCATAAAATTTCTATGGTTCTATAATGGATCCCAATTGATCATTCCAGTATCATGGCAGCAGTTGGTATTAAAGATTCCTCATAACCAACCAAAAAATAAAACAAACACTGGCAAATAAAGACATAGCAACTAAAAAACAGATTTATATACGATTTTAAAAAAAATTATAAAAATGAAAAGAAATGGTACTTAATTTTTTTTGTTGATTTTTCACCTTATTTCCCTCTTTCTGCACTTGTTTTTGTTTTTTCTGATTTACACTAATTTAGTTAACTGCTTAATACTCTATTTGTGTCTCGTGCTGCTTTTCCAGATTAAGTCACTTCCAATTGGAAGTGTTCCGTGGTTGGTTGTTGGGCATTCATATCAATTTCACTCTTAGCGACTGACGTAAGCAAAATTCCCTCTTTCTTTTCTTGCTAGATTTATGAATCTCCTTATGTGATGCAGTTATTTATTTGTACCGACTTTCTTCCCTGTTTTTCATCAAAAGAGCAAGTTCCTACTGCCTTCATTAGCTCCCCAACAATTAAGCTGTCACTAATCATTAAAAATTGATCGTTTCACTATGTCTTACAAAGGCGAATCCCATCCTGTGGATACAATGGAAAGACTGCTACAGTAAACCGCACATATAAGTCGTATCAGTTGGGACCATGCATTGAATATGACTACTGCAAAGTCAAAGTTATAAACTATATTATAGTTTATAAACCGTTCATCTGTCAAGTAGTAGTTTAAGTCCAAATTATGTACAAAGTCAGGAATTTTTTGTCTAAGCTGTTACCTAATGCCTTTTTTTAATTTTTTTTATAAAAGGTGGGGAATGATATATTAAACAATGGATTTTTATGAAAACACGAGAATGTTCTGCCTTTATTTCATATGATGTTTAATGATTTCTTTCCCAGTTATTGCAGAAAGACTGTTTCAGCTCATAGGGTAACATTTGTGATATTGCAGACTGACTGGACTGCTCCCTATGCTCCGTGAGCACCGGCCTGCTTCATGCCCCCGCTCTATCTGCCTCAGTATCAGTGATCGGACTTTCAGCCTTTCTGCCCCCATTCTCTGGAACTCCATCCCAGAATCGCTCTCACTCCCTGCTCCATCACTTTGTTCAAGGTTTTCTTATTTTCTCCCGTTTCTCCCACAAAATACAGTCAATATTCGTTACACTATATTCTTTGAGACATTTCGACCATATGATAAGGCGCTATATCAAATCCGAGGATTATGATTATTAGGATTATAAAGTCCATTTCAAAATCTACCTCTTTGACCACACTTTCGGTCATCTTTCCTGTCCCCATCAACTCTTTCAGTTCCTACCTCCAGCTCAGTGCCCAGCCCGTAAGAACATAAGAAATGCTAGATGAAAAAAAGACCAAGGTCCATCTCTTTTGCCTTCCATCTTCCTGGCGGTCACATGTACATATATCCCAAACTACCTATGTACTATATCCCATAATGTTATTTCTCAAAAGAAAACTATCTAATCTGTGTTTGAAGGAATCAACATTTCCTGCTTCAATGTGTGGTATCACCAGAGCATTGGATCCTGAATTTCTGACCCATCAGCTGCTAGTTTTTTTGATACAGTAGATTTTTGCTTTGAAATCTATATATGAAGTGCAAAACATTGGAGACATTCCTATGTTTACGTTGCTTTGGTTGTATTGCCAGATCAAGAAACCAACTTTACAATTGGTTTATAGTTTACACTTGGCTGGCGATAGCTTATCTGGAGAACTAATTGCATGGAGGCATGGCACACTATACTGATTGTAGAGCTAAGAGAGTTTTTACCCTTACAATTACAGATAAGGATCACATTTGTGGCTGTTCCTTATTGCATTCCTGGTGCCAATTAAGACAAGAAATATTTATTAATATTAATAATAATAACCCTTCCATTTGATACAATATGATTTCTCAGGATATAACATATAATGTAGTGACTGTGTATTTGTTGGATGGCAGCTAATATGCACACAGCAATGCTCCACAAATGGCCATGGTGTGAGTGACCAATTTTATTCAGGGGATTGTTGGTCAGGATCCCGGGAGAAACTCACTTATTTATTGGGATCGTTAACATCCACCTTAACAGCCAGATGAGATCTCAGTTTAATATCTCAGCTAAAGGACAGCACCACCAACAATACAGCACACCCCCAACTTTGCAGTGTCAGTCTAGATTATGTGAGTTCAAATTCCCAACGTGGGGCTCGAATCCACAACCTCTGGCTCAAAGAGATTCACCGAATAAACGTTTCACAGAATATACTGTAAAGAGAACTGTCTTTATGTATTGTGGACAAAATGCGACAGCCAATTGTGCACAGCAGTGTCCCATAAACAGTCTTGGATTAAGTGACCAAATTATTATTATTATTTTTTTGAAGAGATTATTACCCGTGGAAAAGCAATCCACTAATTGACTAACAACCAGGTTCCTACTTACTGCTAGGTAAACAGAGGCGTGTGAAGTAAGGAAACAAGAAACATTTTAACCTTCCTGGGGATCAAACCCAGGTCTTCTCCACTTGCGAGGTGAGTGCTTTAACCACTAAACTACAGGTATGATGCCAGGGACATACCAGGAATTTTTTGGGGGTCAGCTGGGTGTCTGACACATGCAGAAACCCATCATCACCATGCTTAAGAGTATCCAAATCAAGCTGAGGAATCCATGCATCCCACCTACAAACCAAGGATAAATGGATATGGTTATGATGAAAGGTTTAAAATACTGTTGCTGTATTAATTACACCGGAAGAAGCTTGATAGAGAATCTAATTGATGTTTTAAAAATTCGAATTACTGGTTTGAAAGGACAAATTGTGAAAGATTTGTTCCACTGGTTGATGAGTTGGCATAAATAGTTAAAAGCCTTCACTTTCACACAGACACAGAGGGCATGTGGAAACATATTATATCTTGTGAATATTGATGCCAAGGCAATTACCTTATTTAATAGTGAATTAAATAGAAATTTGAAGAATGTAATGATAAAAGACTATGAGGAAAGAGTAGGGAAGCTGATTTAAAGTAAGGATAATAGTTATTCACTCATAACTTTCAAAAGGAATTTTGATATTTCCTTGAAAAGAGAATAATTGCAAGACTACGGGGAAAGAGTGTGGAGTGGGACTAATTTGATAGCTCTTTCAAAGAGCGAACAAAGGTACGGTGGACCAAATGGCTTCCTTCTGTGCTATATGTAGGATTCTATAATTCTATGATAATGTCAGTGGGTCACACATAACAATAACTAATAATCCTTAGCTTTGGTTATAATGCCTTTCCCATCAAAAAAACATTTAAAAATGCTTCACAAGATATACTGCAAAGTGAAGTGACTATACTTTGCACAATGTCCTGCAAACATTCTAACAACAAGGTATATAGTCAACTGACTCTGAAAACAAAGGGAGAACAACATCACTATTATTTCAGAAAATGATTCCCTTCAAAATGCTGGACCTCTATTTCTTTAAGAGGTTTCTGATGAGTCTTTCCAGGTTTAAAGCATGGACGTCCAAGCACCTAACCCACTTATATGAAACCTATTCACATTACGTGATTTTGACAGCACCAAACTCCGTACCCTTATCACCCCAGGCCTTGCCAGGCTCCACTGGGTCCCTATAACAGACCAGATCAATTTCGAGATCTTCACCCCAGTCCTTGCCAGACTGTACTGGCTGCCTGTCCCACAAAGGATCGACTTCAAGATCCTCACCCTTATCTTCAAATCCCTCCACTTCTCTGCACTCCCCTATCTCTCTGACCTCTCTCCTCACAACAGTGCCTGTTGCCTTCGTTCCACCATGTCTGGCCTCCTCCTTATCCCCCGAGTCCTCCGCTCCACCCTCGTCGGCCGTGCCTTCAGCCACTATGCCCAGAGGCACTGGAACTCCCTTCCTCATTCTCTTCGCCTCGCCCCCTCT